CTTAAACCAGCAAAGGACCAGTTTAAACCAGCATCCCAGCTTCAAAACATACCTAAGCAGCATATGCTGTTTTTTTCAACAGGGAGTTCAACAAGTCCGTCGGTGAGTTACATAAAAGCAGTTTGTAAAGGTTAGGAGTCATTAAACAGATAATTGTAATTTTTAGTAAAAATGTGTTATTGTTTACTGTCATTTAAAAAAACGTGTATGTCTATTAGATCAGGAGTTTTCACACTGATATGCCAAAAGAACTGAGTGGGGAAAAAAGGCTTTACAAAATAGGGGATCCGTGTTCACTGAAGTTATTATATGTATATATATCTAATTAAACGATCTTTTGGGGTTTTCTAGCATTTAGCAGGACGTGTGGATCACTGCTGCCATCTACTGGTCATTTCTGTCAATTAGGTCTAAAAACCAAATTACAAAAGAAACATAGTTTTAATTACGTTTACTTTTTACTTTTAATTACAAGTGTTTAATCTTATATTATATTATATATTATAATGATGTTGTGGCTGGTTGCCATAGCAAAATATAGGCTACCATACATTATACCTTCACAAGTGAAATGGAAATATGCTGCCCTTGGCTCTAACTGTAAATGCAAAAAGCCTTCAAATGTCTTAATTTCCCTGTGCCTGTAACAAGCTGCTGAGTGGCTCGTGGAGATCATCTGTAGTTCAGTGACTGTTCCTGGAGTTACTGACAGAACAGGTTTACTGCCATTTATAAAATATTGTAGTTGATCAGCGCCACCGTGTGGCCACGACGTGTAAGGTCCCCAATGAAGCTGAGAAGAGTTATAAGCGTCTTCTCATCGTTTAGATCGGTTGTCATTACAGCAGACTTTAAAAACACAGTTTGAAAAATGTGGGGCAGTTTCAAAGATCCAAAATAAATGAAATACACCAAATAAAAAAACAAACAAACTGTTCATAGATATTTCGTTTTAAATACAATTTAAATTTAATTAGTAATTAAAATAAATGAAACACAATAAATTAAATGTAAAAATAAATGTAAAAAATGAAATATACCAAATAAATAAAAACGTAATTTTTCATGAATGTTTTGTTTTAAATACAATTTAAATGTAATTAATAATTAAAATAAACGTAATATAATAATTTATGCATTTAATTAATAATTACATATTATAATATAATTTAAAAGTATATATATATATATATATATATATATATATA